CACTAGTCAAATTGTGAAATAATGCTTTGCAAAGATACTTTAGTACATGTTGTACATAGGTGTTGGCCACTATTAAGGCAAGAAACTGTGGTCTCTTTATTATGAAGACACCTACTAAGTGGGCTGCCATTTCATCCTATGAAAGGACAATTTATATCCATACCTTCTCCGGGATGCCTTCCCAGAGGAGTATATTGAAAAGGATATATCTAATTAAGAAATACACTTTACAATAAAAAAATACATATTTTTCTGCAATGCACTTCATATTGGATAACTATTACAAATTCACAGGGCTATAAAATAAAATTCTGAATTTACTTTGAAAATAATTATAATCTTACACCAACAAACTACTGAGAAACACTCCTAAATTTTAAAGGAAATCACAATGTATACATAATTATACAATATGATTCCAATAACCTGCGAATGCCTCGATTTCAAGTTTTTTTCAGATGCAAATAAACAAAATTTCAGTTTTCAGAAAATTCAGCATGACACATTTAACAGCTTTTTTCCCTTTTTTTTATTTCCATACAAATAAATCTGTATGGAGATAAATTCAAAAAAAATATTCTATAATATATTTTAATATGGGTATTCTATTATTATTGAAATTTTTTTACCATTATTTGCATGCAAGCCAGTGATCTGTTTTATAGTAAATGCAGATCAAGAATCTTTGCTAATCGTTCATTTTAATAAATCACTACTTTTGGGCACATATTCTGCTGTCTTAAAAATTATTCTGAGTTTAAGTGGTTAACTTCCACAAAGAATTTATTCATCCACAATTCGAAATTGTTCCAAATTTAATTCGTCCACAACTTTTCAGAATTGCTCCAAATTTAATACGCATTGCTACAATGTATAGCAGTGTTTCCCAACCTTTTTTGTGCTATGCCCCACCTAATCCTCTCTAAAATTTTTAAGCTTCCCTAGCTATACATATTGACGCATATAAGACGACCCATTAGACGGCCACACAAAGAAAAAAAGTTTCAATAGCGTGGTTTCTTTAGTTCTCACGTTCTAAAGCCAATAAAACAATTGATGCAATTAATTCCTTCCCGTATATACTGGTCCTCACGTATGAAACGCAGAACTTTGAGACCAATTTAGGAAAAAAGTGATTTTATATGCCCAATACAGTAATAATTTTTAATATTTTAAACTGAAATGTTCACGAAGAACCTTGAGATGCTTAGGAAGAAATGACTATGAATTTTGTGGAAACACATAAGTAACTGAAAAACATGGAGAACTAATTCAAGAAAAAAAAAACTCATTTAGTGAAAGTTTTTCATTTTAAGTATAGTAATTTTTTATTTAATTAGCGTCCTGCGCTTGATACTGCTGCAAAAGAAATTTATGTCAGGTTCCAATTGATACTGAGTCCAAGTCTTGTTCATTATATCCAACATTTTTTTTCGCAATCTTATGGTACTAATCCGCATCAGCAAAATAGAAGATGAAACGGTAACATAGTCTCTTGCAAATTTTGTTGCATTGATATTGTTCTGGTTTCCTCACAAAGCTATTTTATCGCTCCTATATTAATAAAATTTTATGATCACATTTGATTTCTGCAAGTTCTTCTTTTTACTGCATATTGAAATATCAGCCAAATCCACTAGCATTGGCTGCATCATCCAAGTTGAAAAATCAATTTTTTTAAGTTACAAAATCTTTTAAATCAGCCGATAAAATTTTCAGATAATCGACAAGAACAAGTATAGCGGTATCAATAACAAGTATAACGGTAGTCACGTCACATTTTTGGAACCAATGAGACTTTTCAAAATTTTTGTAATAAATAGTATATGTCTGACATAATTCAACAAAGATAATGAAACCAATTATCTTCCTTTTGCATCATAAGTTTTATTTGCTCCTTGAAGTTGTTTATTTAATATTTAATTTTTCAAAAATATTGGCTAATACCCACATTGGCTTGTTATCACGTTACGGATTTTTCATTTCAGTTGTTGCTTATAACTAAGAGTATCAAATAGTTCTATAAATCTTCTGACGACTTCTTACTCAGTGGTAAGTCAAGTTCATATGTCTTCATTTTGTCTTAAAAATAACTGAAAGGACGTTCAATTTGGCTTAGCTTTAGTAGCACTATTATACACTTTAATGAATTGTACTTCATTAGAACACGCGATTGTTTTTAGCTAGCAGGTTTCTTATGCTACACAATGCACAAGAAGCATTTCTGATCTATTTTTATCAATTTTAAGCACTCTTTTTTATTCCGTGCTTATTTATTTTTCAACATATTTAGGGCCACCACTGCTACAGATGTATATATTTTTATATCTAATAATTTTTTATTTACTATAAATATCTTGGGGTAGTGGTTCTTTCTGAGATTTACGAAGAACATTTTTCAGCAAATCCCTTTGAACTATCTCACATAGTTAAAGTACGCCTCACTGTCTCTCAAATTGGTCATCCTTGCCCAAAAAATTTTCTTCTTTTCGCTTTTCACAAGTATTTCAATATCCTCATTAATCTTTTCTGCAAACAGTATTGTTATTATGGATGCTTTAATCTTTGTCATCTTTTTCTAGAACAGTTTAATGCTGATATTGATGGTTGATTAATTTTTCCCTATAGTACGGCTTTTCCAGATGAGCGATTGATAATGAAATTTTGATAAATAGCCTCAAAAGCACATTAACAGTTGCATTATGAGCAGTAAATAAAGACTTTAATATTACTCAAATTTTCAAAAAATTTAATTTTCAAAAATTTTCCTTAAAAGTGTGAAAATAATTCAAATCTGAATTAATATAGCATTATGTTTCGCCTTCAAATGTGCCTCAAGATGACCTAGTTTCACTGATTCGTTGGTCAGGCATTATTGACATAAAAGACAAAAGTTGACTGTTTATGGACCAGGTATGAAACCAAATTTTAAATATGCCTCCAAATACCGACAAACTTTTTTTTTTTTTTTTTGTTTTTGCTTGCACCCCTCATTTCACTAAGGGCTGAAAGAAATAAATAAGATCATATAACAAACTTCCATTTAAGAAGACAATATACGGTTGCCATTCCTACAGTAAAAAATAAAAAATTTGTTGGCTGAAATGTGCGAGAAACATCTGGAAAGCATAATGTGTCAGTTATTTAAATGCCTTTAAAAGCATTTAAATGTCCATGTCTACAGCGAGAATTCTTTATAAAATATTTAAAATGCACCGCAATTTAAAAACGTTTTTACATATACATGACATTTTTCTTTATTTTGGGGAATAAAAAAGGAAATTTAAAAAAAATTTGACTTTATGAAACATATTTAGAACATCCTTCGTCCCCTTAAACTCTGGACGAGTCCATTTTCGAATTGCCCCCCTTAACAGTCACATTGCCCCCTTGTGGGGCGTGGGCCCCATGTTGGGAAACACGGGTGTATAGCCAGACAGTTTGCATTTTGAGCATTAAGCAAGCTTGTTTTGTTGGTAAGAATGTTATTAGAATATATTTTAAAAAACAATATTGTGGTGATTCTTCTTCCAATAAAAATGGAAAACAAGAAAATAGTCTAAAAAACAAAATTCATGAGTCATAAATTTGAATAGTAGCACTTTTTGTAAACTGCTTCATCTTTTCAGTCCAAATCCACATGAGCAGAATTTAATGGCAGATTATGTATTAAGGATTTAGTTTAAGAAAAACCTTTTTCTTGTCATTTTTGCAAATACTATTTTTTCCCTCATTTAAGGGCATTACTTTTCAAGTAATTTTACTGATGTATATTTTCCCCACGAAACATATCAGCACACTTTTTTAAAAGAGTCCTGTACTAGCTCAAATAATTTCCCTATCATTTATGCCTTTTCATTCCCCTATGCTTTTCTGTTGTATTGTCACAAGACAAGAATTTGTGGATGTTTCTTTAAATAATCAGTCCAGATAAGCAGGAAGAAACTGAAAATTCGCTATCAATAATAATAGCACACAGAAAAAGAAATAGCTGTAAACAGCTTAAGAAAACATGGGAAAATTAATAAATTTGTGACTGTTAAGAAAACTAAGCCACCCTAAAAAGGTTAAAACTCAGCACTGAAAGTAATAACAAAGATTACAGCAGCAACACACTCAGATATCTATAGCATTTTTTAAATTATTAACTTACTCAGAAAGAAAAGATCATGACAAAATATTTCAAATAATAATAATTTTACTCAGTTATTTTTGGTTCATAATAAGGATAGTTAAATAATTGCATTGCAAACTAGAGTTTTTTACGGAAATATGGTAATGAGAAAATTCAAGATCAAAAGTAGCTCGCAACTAGAGAACCCTCCAGTACTGACTTCAAAAACAAGGGAAAAGAAGGTTAAATATTTTTAATTCCAAAACGTTCAAAAATTACAATGCAAGAAATCAAAGAAGTTTTGAGAATTGCTGGTTTATTTTTGCAACTAATAATTTCCGAAAGATAAAAACAGCATTTTCTAGCAGCCTGAATTTTGTTTCGAATTTGATTCAGAAAAGAGAAATTTTGGAGAATTTAATTCGCTTCGCTTTAAGTAACACCAAAAATATTTAATTATTTGTCCAGTGAAAGATTAGCATCATGGCAGAATTCATAACAAAATTGTTAATTTGATTTTTGTATTAAAAGGTGAGTTAATTTGTCTAGCAAGGTTTCCATAGCATGTTACTTCACATATACATTTCTAAAGGTTAGGTTAGCTAAATTTTTAATTATGACACAGTACTTCAAGATTGTGTGCTTAAAATAAGAGTCTCCATGGAAGATTCTCTATGAGAAATTAATCTGCATTCACATAGCATTCGAGAAAAATCATAAAAAATCCAAATAGTCCCCTAATAAATAGAAGAATCTAACATTGTTCTTCAGCTTTAATCTTATTTATGGTGATGGCTCTAGTCTTCAAAAGACATTTAGAACAAGCACAAAATTTCCAAAAAATAAATCATTGTATATTTTTGCAATATTGTAAATTGTAACTTACTTTAGGTACAAGTGACACCAAAGCATAACTGGATTTGTCACTTATCTGAAATAAAAATTGAACTAAGGAGTAAGATAGATATTAAATTTACGTTTCATACTTAACCTAAAAGACACACATAATACTTAATAAAAACTCAATCTTAAGAGAAATATTTGCATAAGAAATAAAAATAATGGAGATGACATATATCATACAAATAATTTCCCATAAATTTAGGAAAAAACTGATGAATAAATGCTTATTCAACAAGAGGCATAAGCATTGCATTTATAAATTATTATTTTTATGCATAATATTTATAAATTATTATCTTTATAAAAACCAATACACAGCGGTAATTTTAAACATGCTTAAATCAAATTATGAAAGCATCAATAATCAATATATGGAAAGTTTTTAATAATGGAAGAAATAAAGATAATAATATTTCTCACTAGAAATTAAATACAAGGTGGAGGGGGAACTTAGAAATCAAATTCATTACATATAAAAGAAGAATTTATCCATTATAACTTCTGGAATATATTTGTTTTTATTTACAAATTACCTATTTATGGAAAAGCAATTACAGCCACTTAAAAATTCTTCATATTCAGAAAATATGGAGGTTTAATTCTTAAACCACTGAGATATTTTCATTATTTACTGCTTTCTGAATCTTCCCAGCAAAGAGGGAACATAACTAGCTACATAACATTGTTGAATAAAATTTTAAAAGTTTTAATTAAAAAAGAAACTATAAGTTGTGACAAGATCATGAATAAGATTCTAAGCAACCAAGACAAGTATACAAAGAGGATGATTACAGGTGAAAAATTTCTGATTTGTTAAATTTATGGGATCTGCCCTTTCTTTTTATTACAACACATTTAATATTTTCTTAGCATGAATTCCCAGATTCAGATAAACTTATCTGCATGATCTTTTTGTATTGTCAAATACAATATAACAAACCATTGTGGTGATGGTGATAAGGAGCGCGCCTTGCGCCCTGCGATAAATGTGGCAACCCTAGAGCAGAAGTTTCTTACGATTAGAGAGCAGAGCGAGACAGGCCGGCTGTCGGGGAGTACGCACGAAGTTCCGAAATAAAGCATTAATTTTTATTGTGCACTATGTCTAGTTAATATTTATATTAATGCAGTATGAAAATAATCTGTGATATGGAATGCGAGGATTGGTGGTAAAACATATAGGTAACAACATGATAGGAGTCACCATAATGGTGACCCGGACTGTGTTAAATCAGGCTGTATGAACAGTTTCAAGCACTTTCGATTTTGCTTATAAGCCATCACTCAAGATCTCCAAACCAAAAGTAATGGACTACACCGGTTTTCATCCTCCGAATCACAGATGAGTAGTAATTATAGATCATTTTATAATTCTGTTTTCTACTTATCATTTAATTTCATTTTCTTTAGTTAAATTTTTGCTTTTATTTTGGCTTAAAAACCTTGCACAATGTCTGATGTTCATGCCGTCCAAATTCCGGTTTATAACCGATCAGACCCATATTTATGGTTTATTATGTGTGAAAATACCTTTGCTCTTGCCACCCCCAAACCTAGCACACAATCCATTACTAAATATAATTATGTAGTTGCTCATCTTCCTCCAGATATAGCATCTCTAGTGTGGGAGTTACTTATGAAACCTTCTCAGCAAGAAATTTGCCAATTATTATCTGGAGAGGAATTATGTTCTTGAAAACCTATCGATTTGCTTAGCAATATGAAACGTCAAGCAGAATCTTTAAATGTTCCAGATAACTTAATGTTAGAATTATTCCTTCAACGTTTGCCTTCGAATGTTCAGTCTATTTTTGCAGCGGTTTCCAATTTAACTGCAGATAAAGGTGCAGAAATTGCCGACAGAATTTTAGAAGTAAATCCAACCCCAGGGACTTGTGCCGTTTCTCATACAGTCGATCAGTCTTTTGAGGATAAATTATTTAAAGAAATAGAAAAATTAAACAAATGTATTAATCGCATTTCTCTTTCTTATGGTCACTCGCCAAATCGAGGAGATCGCAATAATGAAACAAGCTATTCCAAAAGGCAAGATTATTCTGTTTGCTGGTATCATAGACGTTTTGGGAAAAAGTGTAGAGAAGACAAATGTACAAAACCTTGTTCATGACAGGGAAACGAAACTAGCAAAGAATAGAGGCGACTTATTCTTTGCCTCAAGTTTCACGTCACTTGTTCGTTCATGACCGTGGAACAAACCTTTCATTCTTGGTCGATACCGGCTCTGACGTGTCCTTACTTCCAGCAAATAATTCTCAAAAATGGAATTCTCCCCAACAAACACTTTTCGCTGCTAATTCTTCTTCTATTCATGTTTATGGTCAAAAAACACTTTCTTTGGATTTCAAATTAAGATGACAGTTTACATGGACTTTTCTTATAGCAAATGTCAGTACACCCAATCTTGGAGCAGATTTTCTCCATTTCTTTGAATTGGTACCTGATCTCAGAAACAAATGACTCAAAGATTTAAAAACGCAGTTTAAAACTGTCGGCTGCGTGAAAAATGCAGGCATTTATTCAGTAAAAACTGCATTCAGTGATACACCATATCACAAAATTTTAAAAGAATTTCCTTCAATTACTAAATTAACAGATCCTAACCAACCTGTTAAACATAACACCGTTCATTATATCATAACTAAAGGTCACCTGTGGTTTGCAAAACCTCGTCGGTTAGCTCCAGATCGCTTAAAAATAGCAAAACAAGAATTTCAAACTGTGATGCAATTGGGGCATTTGAGACCTTCGAGCAGCAATTATGCATCCCCACTTCACATGGTTCCAAAAAAGGGAAGTCTGGAATGGAGACCTGTAGGAGATTATCGAGCATTGAACGCTCAAACAATAAAAGACAAATACCCTATTCCATGCTTAGCCTATTTTACTGCTGCATTGCACGGTATTAAAATTTTTAGTCATGTTGACCTGATTAAGGCATACCATCAAATACCAATTAACCCAGCCGACATCCACAAAACCACCATATGCATACCATTCGGTTTATTCGAAAGTACCCGTATGCAATACAGCTTATGCAATGAATCCGCGACTTTTCAACGTTTTATAGATGAAGTCACGCAGGATTTAGAAGGTGTTATTGCTTTCGCCGATGACTTGCTCATAGCCTCTAAAGATTCTGAGGAACATAGCAGGCATTTGAAAGCTTTATTTTCCAAACTTCAGGAATATGGACTTTGCATAAATGTTTCAAAATGTACCTTTGGTCAAACGTCTATTGATTTCTTAGGTTTTCACCTTAATGAAAATGGAATTGAACCTCTTCCTGACAAAGTCAAATGTATTTTAGATTTTCCTCAATCTACCACTCTTACTCAGCTTCGCCGATTTTTAGGCATGTTTAACTTTTGCAGATGTTTCATACCTAAAGCAGCACATATTATTTCTCCTTTAATAAATTTGTTAGAAGGCTATATTAATAGAAAGAAATCTCGTTCTCGTGTTCGGGATTCATCCCCACAATTAAATTGGAACGAGAATGCTGAACAAGCCTTCATTGCTGCCAAAAATGCCATTGCTCAGGGTACCCTTTTGAGACACTCTATTCCCAGAGCCCAGCTAAGCATCTGGGTAGATGCCTCAGACGTCGCAATAGGCGGCACACTTATGCAAACATGGGAACCTATAGCATTTTTCTCTATCAAACTCAATAAAAGTCAACAGAAATGGTTCGCGTACGATAGGGAATTATTTTCAATTTATTCTGCAATTAAGAAATTCCGACACATGTTAGAGGGCAGAAATGTTATCATTCATACATATCAAAAACCATTAATATACGCTTTTAAACGGAATCCTCATAAATGTTCACCTCGACAATTGCGCCATTTAGATTTTATTTCTCAGTACTCTACTGATATTAGGCATGTGCAAGGTTCAAAAAACGTTGCTGACACTCTTTCAAGAATTGAAATTGATTCCATAACAAAATTTCCATTTTCGGATTTAAAAAATTTCAGGAAGCTCAACAGCATGATCCGGAGGTACAAGACCTTCTCAAAAATAATACATCATCTTTGAAACTGGAATTTAAACCGTGCCAATATTCTGATGGTAATATTCGTTGTGACATATCAACGGACATTCCTCGTCCATTTGTTCCGAATTCCTTTCGCAGACTCATCTTTAATCATCTGCATAATCTGTCACATCCACGAATTGCAGCTACTACGAAGCTTATTCGTTCTCATTACGTATGGCCCGATATGAAACGTCATATCAAAAATTGGGTGAAATCCTGTGAATCTTGCCAAAAATCAAAAATTACTAGACATACTAAAGCCCCACTGGGTACATTCTCTCTTCCTGATGCACGTTTTTCAGAAATCCATATGGATATCGTTGGACCGTTACCTCCATCAGAAGGCAATGTGTACCTTTTGACTCTAATAGATAGATTCTCCAGATGGCCTGAAGCCATTCCCATCCAGGATATGAAAATGGAAGCCATTTGCAGAGCCATCTTCAACTGTTGGATATCTCATTTTGACTGCCCATCAATAATAAGAACAGACCAAGGTTCTGAAATGAGATCTGCAATTTTTGCAGAATTTACATGCATTTTGGGTACGAACAGAATCATAACAACAGGCTATCATCCAATGTCCAATGGCATTGTTGAATGATTTCATCAACATTTAAAATCTCTCAAGGCTCACGAGACCAATAACTGGACTTAAACACTACCAGTTGTTATGCTTGGTATTCGGACAGCCGTAAAGGAGGATCTACAGTCATCTTGTGCTGAACTGGTGTTCGGCACAACTGTCAAGCTGCCTAGTGATATGATAACGTCATCTAAGATATCTCCGTATGACACTCAGTTTATCACGAATCTTCAGCATAGAATGCAACAATCAAATCCAATAGCAACATCAGCACATTGCCAAGAAAAGTGTTACATAAATGCTACCTTAAAGTCGTGTACGCATGTATTCTTACGTGTCGATCGAGTAAAGCCACCTCTGTGCCAACCATATACAGGTCTGCATAAAGTCCTTTTTAGAACGGACGAAACTTTCACAATTGATATTAACGATCTGAAATCTACTGTGTCTATAGACCGTGTGAAACCAGCCTATTTGCTTTCGGACTCTAATTTGCCTGAACTGAAAACAAATAAAGACTTAAAGACAGTTCAGCAGAATAAATCTGCAAACGAACTCTCTAAGACACAAACTGCCACCAGATCGGGAAGACATGTTCACTTCCCTAAGAAACTTGCTTCTTACTTAACAATTTAAAACCTTTATTTTTTTTTTTTGAAATTAATATCGTAACATATTTTTTGTTATTTCATGTTTAATATCATGTATCATAACATTCTTATTTTTTGTTTGCATTTTGATCTTTTCTAATTTTATATTCTAATTTTGTAATTATGAAAAAAATACCTGACAGTACGGATCCTCTGAGATATTTTCACAACCTGATGTTCGTTCCTTTGAATGGCCATCAAAGGAACTGGGGGGGAAACTCTGTGGTGATGGCGATAAGGAATGCGCCTTCCGCCCTCCGATAAATGTGGCAACCCTAGAGGAGAAGCTTCTTACGAGTAGCGAGCAGAGCGAGACAGGCCAGCTGTCAGGGAGTATGCACGAAGTTCCGAAATAAAGCATTAATTTCTATTGTGCACTATGTCTAGTTAATATTTATATTAATGCAGTAAGAAAATAATCTGTGATACGGAATGCGAGGATTGGTGGTAAAACATATAGATAACAACATGATAGGAAGCACCATACCATTATAATATGGTAAGTATACATATTTTTTTTTTCCATTGAAATCTCTGCTGAAGAGTTACAGTTAAAAAAATTATTTTTATTTACTTATTTGAAATATTAAGAGCATTTTTTTAACATTTGTAATTACGTACAAAATAGTTTTAATCTACTTTTGTCTTAGTTTGCTATTACAAAATCTGTTTGAAGAAAAGACCCATTTTAAGTGTTAAAAACAGAAAATTGAGTAATATTATTTCAGAATATTTATAGGACAGTAAATCTCCCTTTTCCATATATACTTCAGGTATTTAAGAGAGATTTTCAGATGCAGCTGAACAGTTTGGAATAAAATAAAAACTTTCTGAATAATAAGCCAAATTTTACTTTTATGAAAATACAACAAATGACAAAAAAAGGGGGTACAGTTCTATGTACTTCTAGTCTATTGGGCCCATTGGTGAAATTCAACTTGTGTTATTTATGTCTCGAAAGTATTAAGATATATATTAGATTTATATATAGCACTGTTCTAACATATTTATTTTAACATAAAATCTGACCTTTCCTGAAATAATAGTTTTTTTTCCATACTTCGATTCTACAATTTAAATTATGCCTACAAGGTGGAAGACAAGAATCTTGATGCACTTTTTTCATTTTGCATCTAGAATGTTTGGATTTTTCAACAGTTACACTTCTATAAATTGTGTATTCTTTTCAAATTCTCTTAAAATTTCAGTTGCGTCTCCAGGAAGACTTCTTTTTGTTCTCTAGGCATTTTAGCTGTAAATAAAGTTTGAAACAAAGCCCAAAGGACAAAATATTTGAATTAAAGGTTAAATATTTGAGTTGTCCAAAAAGGCAAAATTAATGTCTTGAATAGTTAATCATAGTTAGAAATTTAATAATAATTTCGACAGTGAATCTGCAAAAAATTGTCCAAGAAGCTTCTTCCATCGGTGCATTGGATTTCTTGAAGCTTTCCACATTAACGAAGATTTATCTTGTTTAATTAATAACTTAATGAAAGTGTAATCCAGTCATTCCTCACACTTATAAAATTTTATTAACTTAATTTTTGATAATTTGTTACTACTTTTACTGACAGATGATGTTGTTATATCTTACATTCTCATTTGCTTTATTCCAATAAGGTACAAACAAGACCATGGCTTCGATGCAGATTTCTTTGCTTCTGAAAAAGAAGAACATTTACCTGTTTGCCCTTGAAACTGATAAAGTATTTGACTAAACCTGTGTCAAATAAGCAGTTGTTGCTTTGTTAATTTTATATTTTACTTGTGCATGTTTCCTTTCTGCTTTTTAACCTAAAATTGGATAAAGGACAAATGTTGACTTACCCATGTATATTGTACCAAAAAAGAAAGCATAATATCTTCACTGTGAGACACATATTTATGCACAACATTAATGTAGTAATAGAAATTTAGATACAAGAAAGCTAGGTAAAACCAGTCACATAATGATGTTTGCAATTTCACTGTGGAAGAACAGGTCATCGAAGAAACAAGGAATCCTGAAACACAGCAGACCAACTTCATGACTCGAAGCAGAATGGCGTAATGTATTTGCCACTGGATTCAATTCTGAATTTATGAATTCTTCTTCATCCTAGCTGTAAGTGTGATGAGAAAAAGTATCTTGATGGACAAATATTAAACACCTTCATAGGTATGAAAATAAGTAATTCCATAAAGAGGGATGAGGACTTGCTAATGAAAATTGTGGTTCTGAAATGGCATGGGAAAAGCCACCAGACATATCTTACAGCTTTCACTCACACGTGTAAAAATAATAGCAAAAAGGGTGGGCAAGAGGGAGGAGAGGGACAGGACTTCAAAACCAGTCGCTTTATAGACTATCAGTTAACATCTGTTGCCACAGTTGAAATGGAATCCAGAGTGAAAAATGTGAATGTTTGCCTTCACATGTATAGCTTCAGAAATTTTGAATTAAAAAACTGCAATTTTTTGCAGGTATATCTAGAAATAGATCTACTTTGAGATGACAGTAAAAATTTTATAGGTTATAATTATTTTTTTTTAAAATTATCAAAATTTCTAAAACATGCAAATTTTCAAAATAAATCATTAGAAAAAATGTATGAATTTTACTTTGGTTGAATTAAAATTTTTAACTGTGAAAAAAGGAATCAAGTAAATTTAATAAAAAAGAAATAGTAATAAATATACACAAAATCCAATTAAAATCAAGAAGCTAAATTCTGAGAGCTAACTTTTTTAAAAACTACTCATGCATTTGTTTCAAAAATTTGCACTAAGACCTAATTTGAGGCATATGATTGAAATATAGATCACTTCAGAAAAAGTCAGATTTTGTGTTAAAATACCTATGTCAGATCAATGCTATATATAAATGTAATATATATATCCTAGGTCACGCTTTTAAGACATGAAAAAGCACGTTAATTTTGTCATTTCACCCAGTACCGCTTATTTTTTTTAATGTAAATTGCTTTCTTTCTTTTTTTTTTAAAATTTATTCTTGAAAGTGCAGAAAAGAGATGATTTAAGCAGGGCTATAACATTTTTATAACTTTGAAATGAGTTTTAAAACATTAAGAATGCAGCAAATGTCCGAAGTCACTCTTCCATGTCATTCTCCTTGCTATGCTATAGTTTTCAAATGGTTTGCAAAATTTCAGAGATAAACTTTTAGTTCATGTTGATTCTGAATCAGAGCGGTTATTAACCTCAATCATACCTGAAGATCCTGCTATTTTGTAAAAAATGGGACAAGAAAGGCACATCATACAGTTCCTAACAGAAGAGGTTTGTAAGATGATATTATTTTCCTTGATAATCTTCTCCTACGTTTTGTTAATATTAGATTCTTTATCATTTGCCTAATAACCACAAAGACACTGGTAGATTCATATCATTTAAAGCTGAAAAAAATTACAGAAGGAATGGCACTAACCAGAAATACAATTTCAGTTTATCGTTTTAAAGCCAGAAAAAAGCAGATTGTAGTATGGTATTTCCAAATGAAATTCCAGCAACCAAAGTGGAGGGGGGGATAAAACAGGAGAAAAAAATTTGTGATATCTTTTTTTTTTAATCCACCAACTGCTTTTTCAAAAATTCAAAATATAGTTAGATCAAGTTGCTGAATTTCCATGTAGTGTCAAAATAGTTTTAAAAGTAAAGTGAATGGTGACTAAAGATTTGGGGTTTCATGAGTCATAATGATAATTTAACAAATGACAATATAGCTAAAAATGTTGGCTGTTGAAAAAGAAATCATTCAAATATTTGCTTGATTTTGCTTAATGAACTCCACCTCCCCTTTTTCCAATCTCCCTCCTGGAAAATGAGTTACATGGGAAAAACATTTCGATTCACAGAAGTAGCAATAATTAATACATATGAAGAAAAAGTGAAGAATATCTCAAAAGATCAACTGCAGAAGTTTCAAATCATGGTCCCTGAAAATTTATTGAAGTTTCTGAAAATAATGCAACTGAAATAAATTTAACATCTTTTAGTCTTTGTGCTCTAAAAACTTCTTGAATGCCTCTTGTGAGCTAGACTTAAGTATCATGAAAGTTCATAAACCAGGTTGATATAGATCTGTTTGTAAAATAAAGTTTAATAATTAAAAGTACACACACATGTGTGAGATTACATACATCAGTATACTAACCCAAATTTTACCTTCATCAATATCATTAAATATTGAGCTGAGGACATCTATTATACTCTCATAAGGATGCATTTGCAGATTGTGAGAGTCCCCCTCTTGCAAGTATTTAATAACAGCAGGTGTCAGTTTCCTCTCATCAATGAAAAGGCTAGATAGGTAAAATTAAATATCAATTAAAAAGTAAACCAAAATTTAAAAGCTAAACTTTTACAATAATATAAACTGCAAAAGGACATATTTTCAGTTGAAATGGATTCAAGTGTAACTGAAATATCAAATACGTTGAAATATGATTCTAAGTATAATTTAGAACATACATTTTGCTATAAAATATAAAAAATACTCACTGAACTGATGTCAAGGTCACAACAGCATAGGAAAAGAATACTGGATTGTATTCAATATCTGATCCTCGGAGATTAAAAAGATCTTGACAAGGGAAAAGAGTTTGCATTAAAAAAAGTGCAATTATTATTATTACCTGCAGATTTTTATGACAGTAAACAGTTAATTAGCCAAATTAATTTTATAAAACTTATCTGGGGTATTTTACAACACTAGAAAAAAAGGGGACACATATTTTGAAGTCCCCCCATAGCTCTGAATTCTTGAAGACAGAAATAAAAATTTTGTTAAACTGGCAAAATAGAATAATAGCTAACAATAACAGCAAAAACTCTACTACAGCGAAGAGAATAAACTAGCAATTTACAGTTAAGTATGTTTTTAAAAAGCTGAGCTATGAGTAATAAATTCAGTTATACAAAGCCTATTGGTTTCATGAAAATTTACATAATTATGCTATTTATAATTGTTGCGCAGAGTTAAGTTTTAGAAAGGTATACCTTCTTTTTAACAGAGGTGCTATTTATTATCTTCAAAGTCATTATTTGTCAGTAGCACTTTTGTATACGAATCACTTTCCAATTTTTTAAAATAAATTTCAAAATTGTGTAAATACTTTTAATTTTAGCATTCATCTTAATTGTTGGATTAATTGCTAATTACTATTTTACTAGATAAGTTTAAAACTGATATTACAATTTGCAACACACAAATCACCATCGTTAAAACTGAACTACTTAATAAACTCAAATATGCTTGGAACAGAGGCAATTTTTAATAAGTGGCAGGCACTGTACATTCAAAATCAATATATTCATTGCATTGGGGTTTACATAGCTGGAAAAAATTACTCAAAAAGCTTTAGTATAAATCCTAAAATTTGCTATTGGCTTCCTATAAATTCCCTACATAGAAAATATCTGTTTTTTTCTATATATGCATTTTCAATGGCCATGGCCAGGCTATTTTGTCTTCTTCAATTCTGAGGATAACCCAACTGATTTTGTTTAACATTACTTGTAGTTCGGGCTCATGGCTGGGTGATTTTCATTCCATATATTCAAAAGCATCAGTTTTCTGAGCAGACCTAACATTCTATTTAGGGATTTTCATTAGCACAGTTGGAGTACACCCCTAAAAATATCTAGTATGCTCCATGCCAGTCTTTCTGAAAAAGTTTGTTTCAGTTACGTATACCACAATGCAGTAATTGATTTTGGATACATATGTCGTTCTGTTTTATCATTTCTTTCTTGGACACCCTGTATAGGTATACCTATTAAGATGCACATTACTCGATAAATATAATTAACACAATAAGGAACAAAACAGAAAATCTTTTAAAAAGAAAAGTAAGCTTACATGCTATCTCATCCAAAGCTGTAAGTACTAACACTGATGCCTTATTTGAAACCATTTCTTCCCTTACAATTGTGATCTTTTCTTGCCATGTTTTCCCTGGGAAAATGAACATACAATTACTGCTTCCTCTTTTAACTGCTAAAAAAGGCCATGCTTTGTAAAGAAAGATAAATCAAGCACTAATTATAAGAAGCATATTTCCTCTTCAGTCCAGCAAATATTGTTTGTATATTGTAATAAATTTTTAAATTTTCTTCATCATACGTTTAAACTCAGAAATCATTAAATTTATTATCTTACACAGTTAACATGCATATGCACTTATCTTCTTATATATGTGTAAAGATAAGAAAGCTACATGCTTTGTAATTCTGTATTAATTGACTCTTTATGTATTCAATTTCTTCCTTCAACATGTTTCTTTTTCATTTTAGAATTTTTGGATTTAATTAAGGATTTCTGTTATTCTAAAAAAAAAAAAAAAAAAAAAAAACTACATGCATTTAGAATGTATAGAAAAAGCAGCTAATTTTATTTCTTTAGTAACAAGAACACTCAGAAGAAATATGAAATATATATGGTAAGGGCCAGTTACAGAGCTGGTGTAGCAGAATTTTCAGAATTACGTGACACACCGAACAACAAAATCTAGAAATGACAAATAGTGAGGAAAGGAGAAAGAATTAGATTTCAAGGAACCTAAGTTCAGGTAGCATTAATATTTTTCCTTTGTTGTAAAAGACAAAGTTAATATATCTGGCATTAGTAGAGAATGTTAGAGTTTTGGAGAGCATGGTAGTGCTTGCTATTATAAAATGTTCTTTAACATGGGAGTGCGCACGCTCTTTTGAGTTACACGTGCGCGCACCCTGAGTCCAAAAGACCCGGCTCCTGTTTCTTGAAGAAAAAACTGTTACTTTTCAGGTAAAAGTGTTACATTTATGCCAAAATTTTATGATCAAACTTAAAAAATATGCAAATTATAAAAATTAAAATTTTAATTTTAATTTCTATAATATTCTTTATGAAATAAAATTTTTTAAAGGAATAGAAAAACATATTATATTAATATAGAATTTATTAGGAATTAATTATATTATTTATTCAGGTTATTCAGGAATTATTATTCAGGTTTATCAGGAATATACGGCCTGAAAGAACATCTTCCTCGGAAGGCTTCAAATTTTTCATTAATTGTTATGAACTCACTGACAGTGTAATATTTCTGGCAGTTAATCACAAAATCTTCGAAAAACTCTCTTATAGGTGCAAGTTTAGCTGATTTGTTTTGACGACGCGAGTTCCTATGTCATCAAAAACGCAAACATCTTTATAAAAAAAGAAAACATTTGTAGAGCATAGTTTTGTGGAAAATTTCCAAGCCGGCTTCGTCTATTGCCCGCAGATCCCACACATTTACATGAAATGACTTACGTCACAAAAATATAAAAGACCTATAAAAATGCGAATTTCAGTAAGAGTTGTGTTATGAGCATCTCTCTCTCTTTGAAAGCTGACAGAAATAGATGCAATATAAATATTTATATAACTGTCGACTTTCAGCAACATTTGTTCACTTAGTAAAAGTTACCACGATTCATTTGGAGCCTACACATATTTTACCTTACCGAAGTTTCCAGGCAATTTAGTAATAATATTATGAGCAGGACTTATAACATCAGCTTTACACTTTCTTTTTAACCTTTTTTTTTTTTTTTTTTCCTCCTCCCTCGTCTTTTTCAATAAAGCAAAAAATGTCATTCTCGTTTTCGTTTTCAGAATGCATCTCGATTTCTGAATCAGTATCATGAGAACTTAAAAAATTCATTATAACTTTCATCATCAGTTTCTTCAATGGAGTCTTCAACAGTTGATACATCAAATAATTTTTGCAAACGTAACATTACTTCCTTATAGGATAAATTACATGACATGTTTGCAGTTTTCTGTGCTACCACAAATGAACTATCTTACAGGAATGCAAATAGGCGCGCTGGGTCTGAAAGACCCGATCCAATTAAAATAAAATTTCCGGCAAAAAACTTCGGAAACATGAGGAAACTACACTGAACCACAACCACTTGGGAAAATAGGGGTGTTTTCAGAAAGGTAATTCTTATTTATATAATAGTTTGTAAAAATTAATTAGAAAGAGGAAAATATGGCATATAATATAAATTTGATTCACACAGAAAAATTAACTGATGATAATTACTTTATATGGGTGAATAGAATTGAAAGCGAATTATTGTTGCGTTTTTTTTTTTTTTTTTTTTTTTTACACCAGATATTATGTTACATATATATGGAGTTCGTGTGAATTTGGAGTGAATAATGACAACACTTCTTGATGAAGTAGCGAAACTCACTTTATTCAACCAATATTAATCAGGACAGCTCCAAAGTCACGTTTTACAGTCGTAGAAGATCTACTATAAACTCGCTGGAACAATCAGCGACACAGCCTTCACACTATCAAACTATAACGGTGGAGACAGCTTCACTGCAAAGCACCAGAATACAGCTCCCAATTCTGCTTAGTAGTTATCGGAACTCCATGTACTCTCGAGACTCTCCACTCTGCAACTTGCGATGCACTCGACACATCGAGCACAGCTAACGACTCTTCGAGTTAGTCGTTCCCAGAGCTCAGCACACTCTTTTGACGATGCACTAACCACGATACACTAAGAGAATCTTTCGATGCACTCGCTGCCCAGCTGTCAACTCAATCGACTCCACGTGAACTGACTAACTCGAGACTAACTATCTCGCACTCTAGACGAGGCACTAACTGACTACAGACCAGCAGGGTTTATATAGCTTTTGGCTTGTGTTTGAGAACATTCTGGGCTAAACCGGAAAGAATTCGTTCCATCCATCCATGGCATATCGCCAATTTTGTCACCAAATGGGTGACTTCTCGCCAAATGTGGCAACCCTGCCTTCCTTGCCATTTTATGGCAACCCTGCCTTCCTTGCCATTTTATGGCAACCCTGTCTTCCTTGCCATTTTATGGCAACCCTAAAACTGCTTTGCGGGGAAGCTATCTCATTGCGCCTATACATTTCATAACATTATGAAGTCTGAAAGTGTGGGGGAAATGTCATGAAGCTGGTGAACCATCAAAACCCTATAAAACAGATGATGTTAATTATGAAAGTAAGCTGAAAACTTGGGAAATATGAGATAATAATGATGCAATAGCAAGAAATATAATGAATCAAAATCTGGCAGCTCCACGAGTGTTAAAATATGCCAATGATGTGAATACAATGGAACTATAGGAGAAAATTAAAAATGAAATGGCAGCAAAATCAGAAGATATTCAAATCAAACGTAGAACAGAATTAGATCAATTGAAAATAAAGTCAGATGAATCTGTAGATAATTGCATGAATAGAGATGTAATTTTGAAAAATGAAAGTATTTAAGTGAAGGATGAAATAAAAGATAAAGAATTAATTTACTTCACATTGGAAAAACTTAAAAATGAATTTGAATTTGATCTCAGAATCATTAAAAACAACACAAAAAAGATTACAGCTGCAATTAGACAAGCATTAAAAGAAACTGAAAAATAAACAAAGAAAAGAAACAGAAACTGGTTCTAAAGCAAAAGAACAATGCACAAAATCGAAATATCATTAAAGAAGATGTTTTAATTGTGGAAAATTAGAACATTTATCAAAAGAATGCTGTGACTATATAAAATGCTTTAGTTATGAAAGATTAGGTCACAGATCAACAGAACGTAGAATGAAAAACCAAACAAGAATATACAGAGCTGAGAAATTTAACAGATAAAACTTCTAGAATAGCAAGCAAGCAAAGAGAATATGAATCTACATGTTTACGAGAAGTACATAAAATAGAAAAAACTTCATCGTTTAATGAAGACATAAATGATTAACAGAATGAAGTAAGAATAAGACAATAAAAAAGTGAATTATAGACTCAGGAGCCACATCTCACATGGCAAAAATAGAGAAACATTTAGCAGTTTTAAGGATGAAGAATGACAAATAATGACAGAAAGGAGAAAGATGAAAAAGCAAGCAACTGCAATCAAATCAGTTGGTATTGGTAATATTGAAATATAAACTAACAGAAATAAGAGCATTTTGAGAGTAGAAAATGTTCTATATGTAACGGATTTAAGCAAAAATTTAGATCATGAGTTAAAATACTAAAACTAAAGAAGTGATCAAACACGTGGAAACATTCTGCATATAGGTAACAGAAATAGAAACAAATTTGAAGTTGAAAGAAATACAAAAGAAGCTAAAATTAGTAATGTTAGTGATGGACTATGGCATCAGACACTAGGTCATCAAAACTATTAAAGATTGATAGAAATGAAGAAAAACTCACAGTTATTGGATTAGAAAATGTAAAAATTTCCGAATACAATTGTGAACTTAACATATCAGGGAAAACGACCCAAACTTTTTATAAAAGTGTGAAATTCAAATAGTCTGAAGATATTCTACAATTATGGCATATAGATTTAGTCGAACCGATCTATAAGTCAATAGATGGAAGATTTTCTAAAAGTGATAGATGATTACAGTAACTTCATGTTTGTGATTACAATAGAGAAAAAGAGTGAAGCTGCAGAATTCAAAAAGAAACTAAAAAGAATTCGCAGTGATAACGGCAGTAAAAAAAAGCATAAAGGATTTTTTTGAAAAAATGGGAATCAAACACGAACTTGCAACTCTTTACACAGGGAAGAGTAATGGAAAAGCTGAACATTTTAATTATACTATAATCGAAACTGTTAGAATTATGTTGATTGATGTAGAATTATCAATAAAGTTTTGAATTGTTAAAGTAGCTGTACATGTTAATCACAGGAGTCACATACAAGAAAAGAAGTTAACAGTTTATGAACTATATGCACGATATAAACCTAATGTTACTTATCTTAAAAGATGTGGATGTTCATTAAAACAAGACAAATGCAGAAAGAAAGATCTAAAAGCTCGAAAAAGAATTATAGTAGGCTATAGCATGAAGAAAAAAGAATACAAAATCTCTATCCCTGAACTAAATGAAATTCAAGAAGTAAGAGATGAAAATTTAATGAGCAGAAACTCGGATCATCTTTACTGAAAAGAAATGAATGAAAATTCAATAAAAGTCAAATATTAGAAGAATTCTTTATTCTGTATAAATAATAAACTAATGACAGTGAAAACAAATTCAAGAACAACCAACAGAGAAAAGATGATTACAACTCTTTGAAATATAATAATAATAACAGATCAAGAATCTGAAAAAATTTTTAAATCAAATCCAGATGATGAACAAGATGAAAACAGTTCATTGGAAATGGCAGTTGTAGAGTCCCTCAAGTAATTGAAGAACCTCGAAATGATATTTATGAAAATTCTGTACAGAAGAACTGAATGATAGCCATGAAGACACCAGCAAAATTAAGAAATATACTATACAGTACATATAAAAGAATTACTTAAGACATGTGATACAGCTATAGAATCTATTGAAAGTCAATTTTGGCTACAAGCAAAGATAGAAGAAAGTGAATTAAATTGAGACTAATGAAATTTGAGAATTAGTTGAAGGACCTATTGACAAAAAGTTTTTTAAAAGTCATTGGATAGTCACTAAAAGGGAGGAATGGATAATTTAGAAACAAATGGCAACCAAATTTAAGAAAAGAAGAAGAATCACTAATGAGACTTGCAACCTACAGAACACTGTTATCACTTGCAGTTTACACAATAAGATTTTTTGATGATAAATAGAAACTTGAATAAACCAATTTACAAGGAACAACCACGTGGATTTATCTCGGATCCCAATAAAATATATCTTGAAAACAAAAGTACATATTGATCACCACAATCAGGAAAGTGCTGGTATGAATTACGTAAAGTCCTTAAGAAAAAGAATTTGACAAGGTTAAAAATCAGATCCATGCATTTATATTTATAAAGACAGGCTCAACTATCTTATTGTAGCAGTATATATGTATGACTCAAAAGTTATTGGAAATTCAAATCCTGAAATAGATGACTCTCAACTTTCTAAATAATTCCTCTTGTGGATCACTAAAACACAAATTTTTAGGATATAAGACAAGCTGGAAAACTTATTTTCAGTCAAGAAAACTATATAAATAAAATTTCAAAAAAAAAAAAAAAAAAAAAAAGCGAATGAATGTAAACCTGTTAAAACTCCAGGAACATTGGATGAAAATCTTGATGTAGTGTCTTCTCCACCAGTATCAAAAAGAAAATATCAAGAAGCATTAGGTTCACTGATGCACTTAGCAACAAGCACAGGGCCAGACTTAGCTTTTGCTGTCAGGAATTTGTCAAGAGATAATAAAGATCCTACAGAAAAACAATAGAAAGCAGTGAAGAGGCTATTTAGATATATTAAAGGAATTCAAAATGAATATTTAACATATATTTAGGACAATGGAAAATTAAATGTTACTTCCGATGTAAGTTGGTTTACCAATGAAGATGTAAAATCATTTGGAGGCCATTTTATTAAATTATGTAAATATTTCATAAATTGGAAATGCAACAAAGAATAATTGCACTGTCCGCAGTGGAAGCTGAACTTTTTGACATTCTGTGAATGTGCATGTGAAATTAAATGATATGTCTATTTACTTGAAGAACTGGGACAAGAAGATTTAAATGGCAAACCTACAGAAATTAAAACTGGCCATCATGCATTAATAGATAGGATAAAAAAAAACCAAAACAAAGCAGTAGTTCAAGGCCCATTAACCTAAAATATTTCTTTGTAAAAGACAAATATGAAATGCAGCAGGAAAAGCAAATTACTTTATAAAACGTTTGAAATATAGACCTCCCAAAATAATAAAAAGAGATAAGCAAGAACACTAGTGTTTTTAATATTCTGTGAATTCTTTTTCATTAATTTTGACTGAGTTTAGGAATGTATTGAAATTATTTCCACGGTAATTTTATGGGAAACAATGTTGCACATAACAAACGCTATTCCTGAATGAATCGCATTCATTATGTGAGGCACCATTGTAGAGGAACATAATTATATAAGACACACTTGTCAACCTATTACTAGTGTTTTTTCCAACGATCATCTTCACATTCCTTAACAATACCAAATAAATAATAAAGAGGTTATTTTATAAAAATCAATTCTTTATTTAACATATCGTGTATCCTTGCACGATGACCAAAGTTTCTTAAACAGAAATATGAAAAAGTTAATTAAAAATTAAGAATTTGTTAAAAATATTAGCAGTTTGAAAAATCAGAAAATCCTGGATTGGATTCGTGATTGTCTTTATGGTAGACCTCAAGACTCATTTTAATGCTTTGAGAAAACAGAAAACAATTCAGATTGGTAAAATATTAATATATCAACAAGTAGCTTATCACATTTTATAAATTTAGTACGAAATAATGGACTTCAGAATACTTAGCTCAAACCCCTATTATGTTTTAATTGTGTATGTTGAATTTCTTTAATTCTCATTTAAGTCATATTAATAATATAACTATTAGTTTATTTTACATATTTAATCAAAATTTTAAACTGAGCTAAAACAATAAAATGCAAACAGATAAAAATAAAATACCAGTATATTCAATGGGAAGACATTCTATAGTTTTAAGAGGAGGTTCTGGTCGACCATTCCATATGATATCAACTAAATTTTGCTGAACAGGAATTAATATATGGCCTTCAGATTTGAGCTGTTTGGACAACGTTTGCCAAGAATCTAAAAACATATATAAATAAATGGATTAAATATACATAATTATTAATATTAAATACATATTTAGAAACATTTTGAAACAGCAAAATTTTCATTAAAATTTCTAATATTAATACTAAGTTCTAATACATACTTTGATCAAAAAGTATTCTAACCTACAACAGGAAAATAAAATCAGCTTATGTTTCCAGTTTGGACTTCAGTCAAAGCAGATGTTCTACATGACAAATGAAGGGGTAAGAGGGAGATTCTTAAATTAGAAAGAATTTACCCACCCTGTTGTTAAAAATTCCCACAACCAAGCCTGTTTTGCAAACCAGCTTAAAGTTAAACAACAGCTGCACAGAATTTTTTATTTCTGCTTTTCGTGGTTTTATACTGCAAATCTTTTTTAAGGTTAGTTGTAAACTAAATGATAGAAATGTCAAAAAAAAAAAAAACATCTAACAATGAAAGAAAGAATTTTGAATCTCAATTGCATGGACAAAGGTGTAAAGAAGAAAAAAGACATTTCCATAAAATTTGGCATTTTGCAAAATAGTCTGTTGACAATCCTGAAAAAAAAAGGGAAAACATTGCGCCAAGCTTTGATTCCACCAATCCAAGTGATAAAGATAAGAAAATGTGTGTGAGGATATTGATGAAGCAACATTTAAAAATGCCTCGGCACAGTAAGAGAAAAAAACGCTATTGATGCTATCATTGCTATTGATACTGAAAAAGGCTATGACTTTAATGAATGTTATTTGAGTAATAGTGGCTAGAGAGAAAAAAACGACATGCAGTAATTGCAAAAACCACATATGACAAAAGTAAAGATGTTAATGAAGATGCCTGTTTCATATGGAAAGATCAAAAACTAAAAGAAATCATGCAAATGATGTCTAAGCCAAAAAATAAATTAAACACCAACAAAAATGGCTTATTTTTATCAATGTTTACCCAGAAAACACTGATATTCAAAAAAGAGAAATGTTTCAGAGGCAAGCACATCAAAGTTAGGAGTTACTGTACTGCTACGTGTAGATATGAAAGGAAATAAAAAACTAAAACCTTTTTTTTTATAGTAATGTGTAAATATTCAAGATGTTTTAGAAGTATTAATTTAAAATTCAAACAATAAAAATCAGCATTATATTTGTAAATTTTCACAGAACTAGTTTCTATGGTTTTACCGAGCCATCATCCTCAGCTGCCAAAGCGCAAATGAACGAGATAAGATGTAGAGATTAGATAAGATAAGAAAGGCTGGACAAGAGTTAAGCTATTGCATCATCTATTGATGAAACGAGAACTAAAACATAATTTCCTTAAACGCTGAAGGTAAAGATGGAATGAAATTAGGGTCGTTAACTAGTCTCTATATCTTTTCTTGTTCATTTGCACTTTGGCAGCTGAGGGTAATAGTTCGGTAAAACCATTGAAACTAGTCCTGTAAAAATTTGCAAATATAACGCTGATTTTTGTTGTCTAGTTAACGACCCTAATTCCAATCCATCTTTGCCATCAGCCTTTAAGGAGATCATGTTTTTGTTCTCATTTCATCAATATATAGGGTGTTGGTTAAAAACAACACGGCAAAACAACGCAAAGCGAAAATGTCACGGAAGAAAAGAAAGCAAAGAGAAAACATTGTGGCACAAAATATCGTTATCGAAAATAAAGTGGTTCAAAAACTTCGCAGTTTAAAAATAATCATCTTCTAAAATAACGTAATATAAAATCAAGTAACTACAAATCATCGCATAGTGATGGCATCGCAGACATGCACTTTTCAAGTTTTTCAAACCTGTAATGCATTTTCGCATAATGAATTGGGAATGAAAGAAGGAAAGAATATTTTTACTTTTGTTTCATAATTTTGAATGAACTAATAAATTTTTGATGAAAAATTAAGAAAGAAACTTGAACATTTAAAAATTGAAAATGAATAGAAAATCAATGCAACTTATAGCTACTTAATATAATTTTAAATTATTTTAAAAATTTTTATAGTTAATTAACAATGGTTTTTAATAAATTAATCTTTTTTATAAAGTTTTACTCATAAATTTTCATGAAAAATAAACTATAAAAATGTTTAAAAAAAGGAAGATAAATAACTGCATGAGCTTACCGCTATCAAAGTTGTTTAATTGATTATCAAATTACTTTCTTTCACGTTTGTTAAAGTATCATTAACATTTCTTGCATTTCCAAATGCGAATATGCACTTACAACTTTTAAAACCTGAAAAATGCATGTGTGCAATGTTATCATCATGCGATGATTTGTAGATGTTTTTTTTTACCACGATATTTTTAAACTGCTTAATTTTTTATGGACATATTTTGTACCACGACGTTTTTGCCTTGCGTTGTTTTCTCCCCGATGTTTTTGACTGTAACCATAGATAGTGCCAATAGCTTAACTCTTGCCCAGCCTTTCTTATCTTTTCTAATCTCAATACCTTATGTCGTTCATTTGCACTTTGGCAGCTGAGGCTGATGGTTTGGTAAAACAATCGAAACTAGTCCTGTGAAAATTTGCAAATATAATGCTGATTTTTGTTGTTTGAATTTTAAATTAATACTTGTTCGGCCTGTTATTTTATCGTAATGTTTAGAGGTATTAAATCACTAGAAGTAGATTATGATTTCAGCAAGAAAACATGGATGATCTCGGAGAATTTTTAAAAGTAGATGAAAATTTAAATAAATACATAGCTGTATAGAAATGAAAAATTACTCCAGTGATAGACAATTGCAGTACTCATTCTCAAGATATCAAAGACAAGTATAAAAATCTGATGTAGCATGACTTCCTTGTATGGCCTGCTAAATTATGAAAATTTTTTGCTGCACTTCATTTAAACATATTTCCTTGAATTTCCTTAGAGATACATTTCTTAATCAATTCAGTTCTCATTCCATAAAAAGGCAAAAATTTATAAAAACTAAAAATATCTTCATTAAAAATTCTAATATCTATATATATAATTCTAAAATATATATATAAAACACAGAGTACAGTTAAAGAATCACTTTTTGCAGTTAGAGTTGTCCAACCTACAGGAAGACCAAATTTTTGGTGCACCAAAATTTAGTTGACTTTTTCCCTGCTGAAGAGAAAGATTCTGAAGTTAGTGCCGCAACTGAATTTGGTTCACGCTAAATCCCCGAATGTGGAAGGAGATTACATGACATCTAATCTTCATGAAAGATGTCACATCAAAGATACGCCTTTAAGCTCAGTAAATTTCTGCGGACAAACAGAAACATCTTTGCATGATTTGGGTTTCTGAAGTGCAGAAATTTTTCATGGAAATACTAGTTTTTTTAAATCTTGATACTTTAGCATGTATATCTTTTCAATACAGTCTTGTGTCTACTATATATAAACGAAAAATATATGAGATTTCGATTTTAAATTTAGCAATACTTTTCACCCAATGATTAACATTTTGTGCTTTAATTTCTACATTGTATTGGGGAGGGAATTAATATTTGCTTCTCTGCTATATTATTCAAATAAAGAATGAATGAATTTAAAATTACACACAATTTTTATAATAAATGTGACATCCTTTATTATTTTATTGTACATCTGAAAGGAATCTGGTTTAAATATAAACTATTTACATTGTCTTTGGATGAAAGAACTGTCATACAATATACATAAAGAGAAGATATATTAGTTTAAGTTTTCATGGTCCTAACTTTTAATGTACATATAAGGTTGTTCTGAATAGTTCTGAAAAATATACTGCAACCACACTAAATATGAAATTTAATAAAAAAATTTTATCCTATGAAACACACTCACATTTTAACAAAAAAGAGCAGTCATGAAACTTCCAGATATCTTCATAGACAGCTAATATCAATTTTCGGCTTAAAAATCAATCCCAGCTTTTCTAGTATTTCTAATGTGAATACGAGCCAGTTTTCCTTAGAAAGTCTTCCACAAACATAAGCAGACAACCCTTGTATGCTATAATCAAATAAATGAAATTAAGCTTTAGTAAACATGTAATACAGTACAAAGTTTCTAATCCGGATGTCTATTATCCGGAATGATCTATAATCCGGACCTCAAAGCCACAAACTTATGCATGCGCGTTGGATGCACGAGTCCGCTACACATGTGCATAAAGGCAGTATAATGTTTAGAGAGCTTCTGATAGTGAAGAAAGTAACAGAGAACATTATTGAAAATGAAAAAATTTTGATTGACAAGTTAGTCGGTATTCTCGACACAGCAATTACAGGACTTGAACAGTGGAACTGTGTAACTGAACAAGAAATTATGTCTGTTTATAGAATTAAAGAGAAAGTATTAGCACAAAAAACGAAGCAACTTAAGCAACTTACATTGATAGAAATGTTTACTAAAGTAAACAAATAAATATTAAGTTTTTTTTAGGTAAATTTTGATAATTTTGGTCATGATTGCTCTTTATTTCATAAATTACAGTTTCATATCTTTAATTGTATTATTTCTGCATGCCATCTTACCAGATTTAAATTGATGATCTATAATCTGGAAAAAACGATAAACTGGAATCGCCGAAGTCCCGACGAGTCCGGATTACAGACTTTGTACTGTATTGTTACTTCCTTATTATTACAGGTACCATTCTGTAAAAGGGCCAAGCTTTTGATAAAACGCCAACGTAAACTATCTTCAAACATCCGGCAATCCTAACAAGCATGATTTAGAGTTGTTTGTGATGAGAGAGCTTCAAGTAAACGCCATTTACATATTTTTTTCATGTAAATGCTGATAATTTATGATCACTCACGATTCTCTCACAAGAAGAGCTCTCAGTGTTTCACATGTTAAATGCATTTTATTTTATTATTAATTTAAAATATTTAATTTATTAAAAAGTTAGGAATTCACTTGCTATAGCTTTCAGGAAAGATTTATTTTACCTCTCTTTCAATTATGCAAAAATGGTCATTAAATATAACTCATACACTTGTGTGCAAAACTTAAGCAACAGGTTTCTTTTTGCCATA